CAGAAGATAAAGCACTTAGGAATAAATCTAATAGGCAGTGTGCAAGATCTACATGAGTAAACTTTAACTATATGAAAAGACTGCAACAAATGGAAAGACATCTGTTGTTCTTGGATAGAACTTAAGTGTCAGATCTCCCTAGGTTAATTTATAAATGTAATGCAATCTCAATGAAATACAAAGGGTTTTCTTCCTAAAAGGAATTAGACAAGTTGATGCTAAACTTCATATGGAGAGATAAATATGTAGTTCAAGAATATCTAGGGAAGAACTTGGGAGATGGAGGAAAGCACACACTTAGGATGTACGAGTTTGTGAGTTCCATCCACAGAACCAAAAAAGAGTCAGATGAATAGGTCAGTGGTACAGGCTAGTGAATAGTGTGAGGTGCAGGCCTGTAAACAGATTGGAGTTAGGTCACAGAACAGGTCACTGAACAGATCAAGTGCTGGTCATTACACCAGTCAGGGTACAGCCAAATTGAGGTTCAGGTCCATGGGTGCAATTCAGAGACTTGGAGTCAAGCCCTGTCTCAGACAGAATGTTACCTTGTCACCCACAGGATCCAAGGACACCCCCAGAGTGGAGATGGAGAACCCCGACTCATCCCACCCACTGGACAGGTTTCAGTTTTACTGACTTCCATCACAGAAAAGGAATTTTCAGGACCTGTCAATAAAGGAATAGAGATTAGGCAGAACTTTAGATGTATGTACTCGAAGAAATAGTGCAGGCCCTCAAGGAGGAGAGTGGCACCTTGTGGGTAACTCAAAGGTAAGTTATTATTGATACAGGAAATAGTATCAGAGATGAAATATGAAATATTATATCTCCCAATCTGTTTGTTAGCTGTATGACATGCTGAGCTCTTGTTCTCTGAAATTGAAGAATGAATTCTAGGAGCAATGGAGGTTAAGAGTAGGAAGGTATTTATTGATAGGAAAGCTCCTGAGGGGGAGGAGGGGTCCCAAATGGGTAGCCAGGGACCCCACTTTACAGAGGAGTTTTATAGAGCAAAACCCAGGTGGGTGAAAAATGGGCTACAGCCATGATAATCCAATAAGGTTACAAGTATAGTCACTTAATTAATAGTTGTCCAATTGGGAAATAAGTCATGTAACAAGTGTGGGTGGAAGAACAAAGATTCTCTTAGGAAATGGTGGGTCCAGAGTTTTCTACATCATCTCTATAGGAGTGATGACCCTGTGTTTGTTCTTTGGAGAGGTATACAGGTCTGGTCATCTTTATCGTGAGGCCCAGTTTTCAACTGCTGTGGCTCTGGCTGCAGCTGTGGGTTCACCTTTGTACTGACTCTCTCAAGGACCTAGTTCTATTTGACTGCTTATAATATTTTTACCTAACTCATCTGTCTATAATATTATGGTTTGGATATGAGATGCTCCCCAAAGCCTCAGTGACAGGGATTTTGAAAAGTGATTGGATGGTGGGGTGGTGTACTCATTAGTGGGTGTATTCTGTGGTGAGTTCAGTGGCTGAATATGCTTTTGGAAGGTGGGGCTTGTGGGAGGAGATTGTCTTTGGGGTATGAACTGGAAGGGTGCATCTACCTTCTCATACTTGTTTCTCTCTGCCTCCTGGTCATCATGACATGAGCAGCTTCCTCTGCAAGACCCTTCCACCATGTACTTCTTTCCCAGGAGTCAGAAATTATGGACTGAAAATGTGAGTCAAAATAAACCTTTAAGTTTCAGATGTTGGGTATCGTGTCTCAGAAAGTGACCGAGACAGTCACCTATGATATGTATTCTATTGTTTTTTTCACATTTGGTGGGCTATGTTAAAATGAGAACCCGTTATTTACATGTATTTGAAGCTAAGATATGCTGTTATATTTTTTAGTGCTTCTTAAGGATGGGGATGAAGGTATTGTAGGCAGCTAAGTTAGATCAGAATTATTGCTGAAGACAAATCTAAAGAGAGCCACGCCTCAGGATGGAAAAGCAATAGCAAGTCCTGCATGCTTTCCTAGAGATAAATAGCAATTTGATAAACAGGTGTGGACTCAGATAGGCATCAGGTGCATAGATAGGGAGCAGAACACCTGGACCTATACTCCCCTCCATTCAAAAATGCCTTGTATTTTCCATATACCCTTACTATGTGACTCACTTTCCTATTGGATCAATATTAGCTAAGCAACCATACTTATAATCCTATAGGTTGATTGTAGTCTGGCCCATGTTGTGGATTTTGGTGTTTAAATTATCCCTTGACAGAAGGCCTCAGTGGCTACCCCTGGGGGTCCCCACATGGAATCAAGAGCTGTTCTATTTATTTCCAATAAAACTTTCCTAACTTCTTCCTTTGGCTTGCAATTTCATTCCTTGATGAAGTACCATGAATTCAGCATATTTGACATCTAAAAGGTTGGGAGTTATATTCATTTTATATCAAAGGGAGGGAGCTGAGGTACCGATGAAAGCCGAGGCCCAGAGCCTAGTTTACAGCCTTATCATTGTTAAGGTTCTTAAGAATTTTTCCAAGAAGGGAAAAAAAGCTTGAATAACTTTAGTGTCCTAAAGCTGCAGTTTTACTTAAAATGTACAATTTTAATATTACAATTTCCTAGACAAGGTGAAATAGGAAGAAAAGGGCTAAAGGTGTAGGGAAAGTGGGAAGGGTAGGGGAAAAGTAATAAGGGAAAAGAAAAAAATATGAGAAAATGAAAAAATGGAAATAAAGTGTTTGTAAATGGGGAGGGGAGGAGGGGGCGAAGGGAGGGCAGGGATAAGGGGAAAAAATGAGAACCAAGGCCTGTCATGTAAAGGTACAAGATCCCAATGATGAATATAACTGTACTGTATACCTAAAATGTACCAATAAACTCAAAAAATATTACAATTTCCTTGTTTGCTTTGTATATATTTTCTGTCCTACCTCAGCCTCTCACTAGACCCTAGCCACTACCTCTCTCCTTGCTGGCCATTCCTGGGTCCCTGTATTTAATTCTTAGCCATAATCCTGTTTCTATTATGGGAAAAAACTGCAACCTCTCTACACCTAATATGCACAAGTGTGTGAATCTTAGCTCTAAATATGTAATTATTAGCTGTGAGCAGCATACATACATGATTTTTCTCTAAGCCTTAAAAGTGACAAAGATTTCTTAGGACACAGAAAGCACTAATCACTAGCAGTCTGGATATATAAATGTATAAATGTATATAAATGTAAAAAAACTCATTAACTCAAAAACTTAACACCAAAAAATCAGACAGCCTAATCGATAAATGGGCAAATGATTTGAATAGGCACTTCTCAAAAGAAGTACAAATGACTCTTAAGTATATGAAAAATATTCAACATCTTAGCCATTAGGGAAACACAAATCAAAACTATATGGAGATTGGGCTGGGGATTTAGCTCAGTGGCACCGCATCTGCCTTTCAAGCACAAGTTCCTGAGTTCTATCCCTGGCACCAACATAACAAAACAAAACTATACGGAGTATAGTTAGTAAGTTAGTAAGAATGGGCATTATCAAGAACACAAAAAACAATGCTGAGTAAGTTATGTGGGGTAAGAGGAACCTTTCTGCACTGCTAGTGGAAATGTAAGTTAGCAAAACCACTATGGAGATCAATATGGATGTTCCTCAAAAAACTAACAATAGAGATACTATTTGATCCAGTTATACTGCCCCTCTGTATCCAAAGCAATCAGCATATTGTAGGCATATCTGTATACCCATGTGCATTGCAGCACAATTCATAATAGTGATGGCATGGAACCAGCCCAGGTGCCCACTAACAGATGAATCAGAACTGAGCATATTTTTTTCCATAAGAAATGATGGAAAATCAAATAAGTGGTTTTAAGGCCCCAAAATTACACTTATAATTTCATTTTTCCAAGACTTTAACAAATTTTGCAATGATTTAACACACTCTTGTGGTTCTCAGTTTTCCTCTTAGCTTTACTGTGGTATCACTGTCTTTGGTGTCTTTGTTAACTTTGGAGTCATAGTCATTATATTTTGTGCAAACATAGTGCAAAAACAGCACAATGAGGAGTGTTTCAACACACTAACACAAGCACTGTATGTCACCCCTTTGTGTCCTTGGGCGAGATATGATGCGTGACTGACTCTTGGTCTGTGCAGGTTTTTCAAGTTAGATTTTTGGCTTGATTTTTGAGCAAAATTACAAATACAGAGCAGATTCTTTCAAACTTTTCTGTTTGAGTAGTGGAAAGTTCAAGCTTGGAGCTGTTCAGTTATCACTGTAAATAAATATAAAATGCAATATTATTTGGTCAAAAAGAAGCACAAAGTTCTATAATTTGCAGGAAAACTGACTGATCTGGAGATCATGTTGAGTGAAATAAACCAGATTGAAGAGGCAGATACATATTTTTCCTAATATGTGTAATCTAAACATGATGACAATAAAGTAGAAGGGAGACTATTATGAAAGAGAAAGAAAATAAAGCAGAGGAAGTATAATAGAAGTGGGTAATGGGGGCTGGATATGATCAAAACATATGCACTAAGACAAAAAAAAGTGAAACCAGGGGCAAGAGGGATTATGGAGGAAAATTAGGTATGTTCTCTGTGTATGAGTCAAGCAAAATAAAACCCATAAATTTGTACAACCAATATGGACTAATAAAAAAAAGATGTAAAGGAAAAATTTTTCTTTATTAAAATACACCATTAAGAAAGTGCACAGAAAAATCCCCTAAACTAGGAGTATAATGTTACATTTTCTCCATAATAATGCATTTAGGAAAGCAATGAAATAATATTCCACTTATAGTATGAACAAGAAATAAAAATACTTCAATTCCAGGAATAGGTCCAGTTTTTATTGATGAAATAAAAGGAAAATAATAGCTGGAAAGTTATACCTTATACTTGACTGTTATACCTTATACTTATGTCATTAAGATGACAACACTTTAGTATTTTCATGTAAAACTAATTTTTCTCAAGATATGTTAATGATTTAAAATTGAATTTCTAAGTCAAGTACCTTCATTTAAAGTTTATCAACTTTTCTTAATTGTGTATTTAAAAAAATCAGATTGGACAGGAATTCTATAACTGGTCTTTTTTTCAGTGGCTTCTCAAACAGACCTTCAGGTAAAGGTTAAGAATACTGGAATAAAAATGAGACCATGGGCAGCCCCAAATACCATTACAAGAAACATAACCTTAAAAAATGTCCTGAAAATGTATGCTTGGGCTGCAGCTAAAATGCACACCCCTATTATTGTTGAAGTTGCACTCTGTAACACTGGGTAGCCCAAGAGATGCAAGGCCTCAATTGCCTTTCCATTTGCTGAGGGCTCAGAACTGGAAACAAAGGCATAGGAAATGTGTGCAGAAAAATCGAAGGAAAACCCTATACAAATGACAAGGTTAATCATGGATATAGAATCGAGATTAACATTCCAGAATGCCATGAAACCTGTCACTCCCACAATCACAGAAGCAATAGCAAATGTCACCCACAAGGCACACATTGGGTGAGGGATGAGCACCAAGGAGACCAGGAACATAGCTGCTGATGCAACAATGACATTGCGCAAAGTGTTTTCCAGTATTGCCCCATATTGGTCAAAATATATGAAGGCATGGTTATACACAAGCAGGGGGACCTCACATTTTTTGGCTATACCTCTTAACTGTTGTAACATGAACTTCTTACTGATTGTGTAAGCGACATCTCTAGTCTGAATGAAGCCCCTGGAAGAAATGATTTCATTTGATGAAGAAATATTAATATCATACATAAAATTTGGAAAAGTATTTAAAAATGCAGAAATATTATCTATAAAAGAATTCTTATCATTAAGATCTTGAGTGTTATTTTTCATATATTGCACATACGTTTGTAGCCAAAACTCTGTAACATTTTTATCTACATATTTATTATCTTCAAAATTCATCATACATTTTTCCAGTGTTTGCCTTACATCTTCATCCCAGTATTTAACATTTTCAGTAATAACAACCATAACCCTGGGACCATAATCGGAAAAATAATCTTCCTCGGTATCAAAATATGGTGTGATATAGGAATCATCACCAGCCAGATTTCGAAGGTCCAAGCCTTCCTGCACTTGTAAACACCCATATATACTACTTGTCATGTACAAAATGTATGTCAGCACTATGAAAAACTTGGTCTTGGTGCGTGTAAGAAAAGGACCAAAATAGTCTCTAAAGAACACATTCATTGGATGGACATCAGTTTCCCGTTCATCTGGGACAGAACCAAAGGGGAGGCAGCAGGCCTTTTTTAATGAGGACCATTTCTGGCCTGGCCTTTTCAACCACTGTAGGCAGACTACTTCTCTTTTACCATCCAGGGCCATAACCGCTCCAAACCAGGTGATGCTATAAAAATAGCAAAAAAGCAGGGTTGTTCCGGTGTAAATGCAAAAGTACTGTATGGATCTGAAAGAGCTCATGATCCCTGTGTAGAAGGCCAGGACGTTGGTGGTGGTGGTGATTGTGATGGACACTGCTACATGTGCATAGACCTTGGACATTCGCTTTCTTATGCTGTCCATGAGGCTTGTCTTCTGCCAGGCAGAAATCATAATGAACATGTCATCAACACCAACACCTGTTAAAGAGGAACAGAATCTTCATATATGTTAATATACACCAAGAGTTAAATAGATGGACAGTTTTCTTTTTTCTATCTCTTATCCTGCACAGCCTCTAAATACTGTCTCTTCCATGATGCTTTCTCTAGTTGCCTCAATTTACAACAGACTTCATCACTCCTTCCTCAGTAAAAAGCCTTTGATTACACACAGCATGATACACTCTACTCTGTCTTTATTCACTTACTATGTAATCAGCTCCTTTCAACCATGAGATTTCCTGATTGGTTTGGAATTAAACTTAAGATATGAGAACTCAAGTCATCAATGAATACTGGGAAAAAAGAGGACTACAAGGAAAAAGAGACTAGGAAAGATAGTATGAGCATGTTGCAGAAAAATTGCAACTCCCTCAAACTTTCTATGAGAGTTGAAACACTTTCACTCTTGTATGCCTTTGCTTCTATGTATTGGTATATCCTCAGTACTTAGAACTAAAATGTTGATTTTTTTTTTTTCAGTACTAGGGGTCAAACTCAGATCGCAAGGCAGGCATGGTGCTACTTAGCTAAATCTCCAGCCCTAAAATGTTGATCTTGATTGAAATTTACTTATCATATTTTGGAAAGTAAACAACCTTGAAGAAGTTGGAAGAATACTGGGAATTAGTACATGGCCTCTACCTCAGACATCCCATGGGTGTGATCCAGGTAGAAGGTGCACATGGCCACAAAGCTGTGGAGTCTGTCATTCCCTCCACTGTTGGCACCCCACTGCTGCTGGCTGTGAGGGTTCCAATCCTGCTTAGCTGGAATAATCAGATCATGAATGAATTAACTGATGTTTGTCAGATATTTAAAAACCAATTTTTACTACTTATAGAACCTTGTTCAGAAATTGTCCTTATACATTTCTTGGTAAAGTTTCAGAAGTCACAAACACACACACACACACACACACACACACACATACATGCTCCTATGTATGTATGTATAGACCATACAATAAAGGCTTATAGTAAAACAACAGCATATGCTTTAACCATAGTTATATATGGCTTCAGGGTACACCAAGTAACATTTTGTGTTCAGGAAGGTGTGTTCTAAATGGGCCAGTACAAACTGATACCCAGTATATATCTTATGACTGTTTCCTCAAGAAAACAAGGAACAGTTTCTTCCAAGTTGCTTACTTTCTAAAAAAGTCTTTGTTTTCTGTGAAATACATTTTGAAAGTACCATAAATACAACAAAAAAATTGAAAACAACTGGTCCACCCCTCAGGTATAATCCCTGTTAGCAATTCAATGTATGTTTCTCTAGAATTTGTTCTATGAAAATATAAATATAGCTATTTCTCTATTTTACATCTTCTTTTGTAACCAGAAATTTTTATTTAACAGGCTTAAAAGACTGATTATTGTTCCAATGTTTTACATCTAACATATTTGATTTGACAGATCCCATTCTGCTGTGACACTTCCTTGTGTTGCCTGTGGTCCTTGCCTGATTACTTGATCAGATTCTGAGAAATGGACTGGGGGTCAAAAGTACTCCGTCTTTAAGTCTTTTGATTTATTGCAAACTCACACTGAAAAAACTGGGTAGCAATTTACATTTTCCCACGGCACAATTAGGAGGGTGTACCTTTGCACATAACTTTCTCTAAACCTTCAATCTTGCTGGGATGAATTAGAAAATAAGCTCTCACTCTTTTAGTTTGATTTGTATTCCTTGATTAATTGAGAGATCAAATTATTATTATTATTTTTTTGAAACAGGGTCTCACTATGTAGTTGAGTCTGACCTGGAACTCACTATGTAGCCCAGGCTGGTCTTGAACTCACAGTGATCCTCCTGCCTCAGCTTCCCGAGTGCTGGGATTACAGGCATGCACCACCACACCCAGCTCCTCAAATTATTTTTCTTATATTTTCAGAGACTTCTATTTTTGTGCAAGGAAACAAGGAATGTGTGCAGGTGTGAACTATTATTCATGTTCTCTACTTGTCTGTTTGGGGTATTAGATTTTTCCAGTTCTAGGACACATAATTCCATGTGATTTTCCTTTTTCCTGATACCTAATGTATCAGGCAATCCCTTCTCTCATCTACTTCACATCTCATATACGAAATAATGTGCAGCTTTACATTTTTTTTTTACTCACCTAGAATGAGAAATGGTGAATTTTTAACTATGATCACAAATGGTACTCCAATGTGCAGCATCAGACCAAAGCTGCTTACCACTGCCAAAACAGCAGAAGACACTCCAAAGACTGCAACCAATACTTTGCTTCGTATACAGTCCAATCTGTAAATTTGGAGGGAAAAATCATGAAATTTGTGGTGGCAACCTCCACACTGAAATTCCAACTGATAACAATCCTGACTTGGACGTCTACTCAGAAACCTCTGGGGAAATAATTTCAATATTTGTCTACCGGAGATCTTTAAATTCCCAGGCACTCTCTCAGATGGAACATCAGGGGTGGGAAATCTGACCATATGCACTTTTACCAAACTCTCTTTGGTGATTCCTATACCCAAGCACTAATCCACTGACTAGTATTTCAGCTTCACAAAGATTTACTAAAACCCTTCCGATAGGTAACTGCACTCTGATATTCATAGGGTCTGAATGGAATACTACAGGTAAGTGGTGGGCCTTAGCCCAGTTTCTGTTGCTGTAACAAAATACTTGAGGATGGATAATCGGTAAAGAAAAGAGGTTTATTTAGTTCTGCTGTGAAGGTCCAAGAGCATGATGCTGGCACCCTGGCAAGTCCTGCTCATTGTGTTATAAAATGGTAAATGGCATCATGGTGGGAGTGTGTGAGAGGGAGAGAGCACCCAGCCAGAGAGGAAGCCAGACAGATTCAGGGACTAGACTCACACTTTCTATAACAACTTGCTCTCACAGCAAGTAGCCAGGTTCCTATGAGAACTATACAACTTTCTTTTGAAGGGGCAGCGCCTCATGACTTAACCACTTTCCCTTTGGCCCTGCTTCCTGAAGGCTTCACTACCTCCTACTATTGCACTGGGACCATCCTTGCAGTGCACAAACCTTTCGAAACACACGTGGATCACATACCATCCAAAGTAGAGGGCAAGCAGTACCAGAGACAGAACACAGACCCAGTTATCTTCCTACCCACTCCTGAGCTCCAACTGGCCATGAACACAACATAAAATAGCTCCTGCATTTCAAGGCTAATTCATTGTGTACTGTAGTTAGCAAAACAAGAGATCCTTGTTTTAAATCACTTTCAAAAAATTTCTCTACTGGTGAAGTGGACTCTAGAAAAGTTACCATTAACTTGGAAAAAAAAAGCTGAAGCATACTGTATTTTGAATGTGCCTCTTTCCTTGTCAGGCCAATGATATGAGACTATAGAAGGTGTGATTGAAAACCACATGAATGTTTATATTTTTAAAAATATTTACTACATTAAGAGACACCTTGTCATTAAACCCCTTCAAAATGCTCCCCCTTGCTTCAAATATACTTCACCTATTGCTCTTGTCACTTTCTGTAGCAGTTCTGGAAGTCCTCTTTGTGGAGTGTCTTTATTCAGGTTGTTGTAGTTGTCTCAAGTCCTGAGTTGATTCACAACACTGACCTCTCATGATCATTTTGACTTTGGGGAAGAGCCAGAAGTCTCATGGTGCCAGGTCCAATGAATAAAGTGGATGAGAACACAGTGTCACGTTTTTATGATTGCATACACAGACCTTTGGAGACATACTTGGATCATATCCCGTCCATAGCAGAGGGCAAACAGTACCAGAGATGGAACACAGACTCAGTTACCTTTTCATCTACTCCTGAGCCCTAACCAGCCATAGATATAGCATAAAATAGTTTTCTATTAGATATTTGGCAGCAGCATTCAGTGAAAAAAATTTTTTTATCAACTTGTAAAGACTCACAAAAGAGGATTTCCAGAATGCTTCAGAAATTGACAAGAACAATGGGATAAGTGGGGATAAGAACAATGGGATAAGTGTGTTCAAAGTGAAGGGAAGATGAGGGAAATTAATGGCAATGTGTCTTTTAATATAACAAATTTTTAAAATTTAAACATTCATTATACATTTAGATCACGCCTGTAACAAGACACTTTACAGTATAATTCACTGCTATATATCTACAAAATCCATGACACTACATTAAAAAATATTTCCAATAACCTCTAGTTTTAGATATTACTTGCTGGGAATTGCTTCAGAATAAATGACTGACGCCTGCCTCCAGATATTTTAATAGGGGACAAAAACCAAGTTTGGACTTGAAATTTAAGAGGGACAACTAAGGAACTGGATCTAATGATTCCAAAACAATAGGAACACAACTTTTATGTCATGGCAGACAGAAGTAGCAAAGCAACAAGGGACCTTAACAGCTTCCTCTTGCTCCTTTTATCTTATGCAGGTTACTTAGGGAAGGTAGCACTCACACTGTCAATCCTAGTGCACGTGAGCCTAGCATTGCACTATGAATCAATTCCAGAAAAAGCCCCATCTATGACTGCATGAGGCTTTGGGGGGACATCAAGACACAAGTCATAACAAGCAGTTTACTTTTGCTCTGTAATTCATATTTGCATGCATGTTGTTTGGGGTCCCTAATTTTAATTCACAGCACCTACAGGTTGGAAAAAAAGTGAAATGTGCACGTGAGCCTAGCATTGCACTATGAATCAATTCCAGAAAAAGCCCCATCTATGACTGCATGAGGCTTTGGGGGGACATCAAGACACAAGTCATAACAAGCAGTTTACTTTTGCTCTGTAATTCATATTTGCATGCATGTTGTTTGGGGTCCCTAATTTTAATTCACAGCACCTACAGGTTGGAAAAAAAGTGAAATGCAACCAGTGTAGAACTTTTATGTGTAATGTGGAATTTTGCATACGTAAACGTGGCCTTGCCTGAAGGACTTCAGTGTTCTAACACTGAATAGAGAAGAGATGGGACTTTAAACACAGTCTTCCCCTTAT